TCGCGGTGCAGGTGAGAGTCACCTGTTTCATTACGACTTATTTTTTATTAAAACCAAACATGTAAAGGGTTAATGACCAGATATTCATGGATACAGAAAAGAAATTGTTGTTTATTTTTTATTTTTTCTCTGATTTTGCCTTTTCATTGTGAATACCCTGGATACTTCCCTCGTTTTATGCGAACTTAGACCTTAGAATTCCTTCAACATCAAAGATTAAACTAATAAACTACAGTGGTCATTTAGATGTCCTATTAGGTGTGCCTTTTTTTGCATAATAAGCGGCTGTCATTGTTAATCAAGAGATTTGCAAAGGCATATAAAATTATTTCTGTACCTCAGATTCTTTCTTCAGTAATTTTTTTTTTATTTTTTTTTTTTGATGAAGTAAAATTGTGTTAAGGCGCCTTAGATGATAAAATTGTCATACTCCTCAGAATAATGAGAACTTGGTCCAGTGACCACCAGTGTTGGATTGAAGGAACACACCCTGATTCCAGTTGCACAGCTCTTTATGAAATGATTTTGTGGTAGTTTATTGACGGGATCATTGATTCTTCTCCATGTTGTAAAACAGTCACGTCTCCTGTTGCAGTTTCATTAGAAGTGAAGGAACGTAGCGCGAGCCTGTCTTCTTCGGTTGGTTGGTTGCTTCATTGCGGCGCTTTGTGGATGTTCGTCAGCGTGTGAGCAGGTAGCCTTCCTCAGGTCGGCACGAGCTGAAAACACCTGCTGGAGGCCACACTTTGGTTGTCATGGCAACTTTTATTGGAGTCGGCTATTTTTCTTGGAAACATTGAATGGAAGGAACACGTAAATAGATATTCATTTCCCGGGAACATTTTGTGTTGAAAGAAAAAGAGAATTGGAGTTTTGGTTTTTTTTTTTTGAGAGGCAGTGCAGTTAGTAATAGGAACTACTCTATAACTGAGGGCTTTTAGTATGTGTGCCCACCGTGCTTCCATTAATGGCCAACATTAACATTCAGTTGTGTTTTCTCTTGAAGTGTCCTTGAACTCTTGCGTCTTTATATTTTTCATTTGTCCTGGAAGAATGAGAGTAAAGGCAGCTCTGTTTCCCGGACTGACGTTAAAAAATAGTCGTGACATGTCGACTTTAAATTCAGACAAAAGCAGACAGTTGCAAGACATCCTAGAATAACCTAGTTCATTCATTCATTCATTCCTATGTGCCATTCACCAAAGCCCTTTATCCCCATCCACACAATTCCTCCGCAGAGGAAATCCCAGGCTGTGAACCGGCGGTTGTGGGGATCACAGCTGCCAAAGATCAGGATATCTTTAGGTCAGAGAGGCAGCTCAGAGTAGCCGGCTGCAATCTGCCCAGCTCATATCCTTTGCAGAAGCGTGCGAAGGCAGGTCTGGGCCAGGCTCTGCTTTAATTGGTTCTTTACGCTCGCTCTTCGTGCAGGTTCCTTCACTCGCAAAGCTCGGGGGTCAGAGGCATGTCAGACAAGCGGGGCTCACAGAGGGCAACTCCTGCGGCGCGTATAGTTCGTATTGGTTCACAGACTTTACAGAAGGCGCAGACCGCTCCTTGATTAAGCAGTAGAGCCATGTAACTGGCTGCCACAGTCATGCCAGGTGGCTGTCGCTGAGGATCGTTGCATACAGTATTTATGGACGTTTAGACGAAAGAGATTTCACATATCGACTTTGAATGGCGGTGGCTGTGTGGATTCAAAAGCAGCGAGGGTCCTGCGTTTGAAGCCACGGGCCGGCTGGGGCCTTTTGGTGAGGGCCTTTGTGCTCTCCGATTGGTTAACCTCCACAGTCTGAATTTGAGAGAGACTCGAGATGAGTTAAGTATGAGTGTCTGTGTGTTTCAGACCTTTAGGCGTACCTCATTATGCGGTGTGATTAAGCTAAACCAGAGTTGTTATTTTGACTATGACACGCGTCCTAAAAGTATTTAAATGGTTGTCTAATTCAAGACACAGCTCCCTTCACCGTAGATGTACAGTAGCTTTATCTTGTAATCGTCGGTTAAGGCTGGCAGTCTGCTCTAAGTAAAATAGATTTTGCTGTGCTATCAGCTGTCAAACTGCGGTTCAATTGAGAGCCGAGGGGATTGGCATTGCAGCTAAACTGAGTTTTAAGAGCTCTTTTAAAAAAAAACACCTAGGGACAGAGAAGCACCGTCCCTGCAGTTTCAGACCAGCTCAGCAAGGGGTTGTTAAATGTAGGATCACAGGAAACTGTTAGCTAATTGCAGGTGGTTGTGTGTTTGTGGGCAGTGAACAAGGCTGTGCACACACTGCAACAATGGAAGCCAGATAGTTTGTTTTTCTCCAAAACCTGTGATTTGCACGTGTGAACATGCCAAATTCAGTAACAGGCCAGCTTAAGTTGGTGACACACCACTAGTGATTTGTGAATAGATGGCAATTTGTTTGTGGTACGAGTATGTTTACAAACCAAACTCATACAGAGCCATCAACACACAGGCAGTGACGGAGCTCGCCTGAATCCTCTTGGGTAAACACTTTCCCTTCAGTCCCAAGATCCTCAAGGTGAAACTCAGAATGCTTCGATCAACACAATAAGCTGTTTTCTTTGTGTGTCGGTTGTAGAGAAAGTGTACAACTCTGGGCTTGTTGCTAATCTTACCAGGGGCAGATGGCTGAGCTCTGGACACACGCTGGGTCCTTCCATGCCAGCTCACAGCTCTGCTATGGCTCTCCTGTTACTCCACGCAGAGCTCCTCATGGCTTTGGATTATACTTAAGGCCCTAACCACTTAAAACTCCCACGCAAGTGTGGAAGTGTCTCAAATGTAATAGTTCAGGAGTAATGAAGATCAGCCGCGCACAGACACGGTTCCAGTGATGCTCATATTTGCCAACCACAATTGGTGTGTCACTGAACACTGACCCATATCTCTAAATTCACAAGACACTGTGGCTGTGAAAAAAAAAAAAAAAGTGTGTGAATGTGTAAAGTGAGTAGGAGCCCCGTTAAAGTACTTGTTAGAGCAAGATGGGCCTCAGTCAGTTGGACTGGATTGGCCATCTGTTGCATCAACCGCTGAGAGGGGGCCTACACACACTGAAGTACAGAGTGAGCCTGCGTTTGTAATGAGCTGCAGTGATTCTGATGCAGATGTTGTTGTTGTTTGTTGTTACTAGGGCGTAAAGGAGGTTCAATAATGGGGATATTTGTGAAAGCGTACCAGTATTGTGTTAGTAATATTTTAAACAGTATGTGTTTCATTGAAACTGAATGTTGGTGTGGAATTCTTCTTAGCGTCCCTTTTTTTTTTTAGGTGACTATCAGATTACATAATGTGAAAACATTCTGCGCTGGCTGAGTTCAAGATCCGAACCGTATGACTCATTTGCCAACATCTTTGCTTGTGCTGCAGAGTTAGTTGAAATAGCAGATTCTGTGCTGGAGAAAGGCGCAGGTATTTAATTTATGACCCCCGCGGCTCGGAATGTGCAACAGCATTTTTGTAAACTTTTTAAGAGCGACTGTCTCTAACTAATTCAGTTTGCAGCTTGTTCTAGCTGGGAGTTGCAGAAAAAGAAAACGATGAGTCACTGTTGTGGTAGTAGGATTACCTGTGGAGGGCTCAGAATGACACCTTTGCCAGAGAGGACACGCTTTCAAGTCCAATTACGCTTGACTGTGAATCTCACCTCTGTCCTCGCAGTGGATTGACGCACCACTACACTTGCCAGATACTCTTTGTATGTCATAGACGGGCCCTGTTCACCACCCCAAACCCTGCAGCACTCTTCTACTGGTGACTCACTCCTCAGCATAGTGAGCTGTAATGGTATGTATAGGCAGTGTTCCACATTAACTCTTTGACTCACCTGCCAAGGGGACTGTTAGGTGAAAACATGGACCGGCCGAGCATATTCTGTACAGGCCAAACACAGTAATGCTGTTCTGTGTCACATTTGAATTAAATCCCTAACTCCATCGCTGAGCGCCAGAGTAACACACAGCACCTCATGTGTTGTTTGTGTGTGTATGTGTCAAACAGCAGAGGGCCTATAAAGGACACCAAAATACGACAGAGACTCACGCCATAGTTTTTTTTATTACATGACTATTTTGGGACAAACGTATGCCCACCAGTGTGGCCAGCAGCCTTCAGAGATTTATTGGCCCAATGGAAAATCTTCAGACCCCTGGTGTTAGTTTCAGACCCTGCATATAGGCATGAGATAGTATCACACATAGCATGTTCAGCCTATTCAGACGAGCTTAGACCACTGATTAGATGCAGTGTTGAAAGTGAGGACGGAGAAACAGCAGGAAGAAACACTGAAAGACAATGAGTAAAAGGGAAAGGAGGATCTGTGACTGGCAGCCCTACCCGGTTTTTAAATGCTTGGTTTTTGGATAATTGCCATCACGTTTGGCACTCATGTTAATGGTCATGCCGTAATGCCCCTCGCACGCTTCAGGGCTAATACTGAGATGTTAAAAAAACACCAAAAGTAAATGATTCTCTTTTTGAGTTATATTACTTTGATATGCTTCAGTCATTGTACAGCTATTTCCCCATGTAGCTTCTGCAACATGCTGATAAACGACCCTGCTGGTCTGCTGACAGTTTGATTGTAATCTCTGATTAATTAACCCACTCGTCTCTACTGTTGAAGCCTGTGCTTGGTTATTTAGTTTTTGTGGTGGTTGAGCTCTCTTAAATGGGGTGGGGTTCCTGTATTCAGTATGCCTGCAAACAAACAAACTAAATCAATCTTGCTCATTTATTATTCCCATCCCATTAAACACCAGTATACTTATTTGTCGATGCATATCCATGTAATGAAGTGATATCCATGGAAACCAGCTTCTGTCTACTGGTTGATGACTCACATATTCACTATTGTGAGCATGTCTGGCTGAAAAAGAGCAGTATACAACTAAAATCAAGAAGAGGATCTCTGGGGGAAAAAAAGTCTGGAAACCTCAAGTTGCAGACAGTCGGTTGTAAACGGCTGTTTTCTTTCTCTCTTTCAGGAGCACCATCTCCAGCGGGCCATCTCGGCGCAGCAGGTATACGGCGAGAAGCGGGACAACATGGTCATCCCCGTCCCCGAGGCAGAGCGCAACATCACGCACTACGAGTCCCTCTACCCCGGGGAGTTCAAGATGCCAAAGCAGCTTATTCACATACAGCGTGAGTAGCAGGCCGCTTGCAGCACGATTATCCTCTCAGCTGCGCTGGTTGTGTGCGAGCACGTGGTGATGTTGCCGTTCGGATGCTCCGGGTGTGTCTCGTGGTTTCAGGGGCTTTATGCTGCTAATGGAGAGAGTTGTGTGTTTGAGTTCAGGTTTTGCAGGACTTTATTATTGTGGATGGGATGTCCAACTTCTTAGTTAAACAGGCATGATTTGTAAGATCACATGCTTAGAAAATGGATTTGAAAAGCATTATATGTGGAGACTAAGGTTTTATGTAAGGGATATCTGTATGTATGTCTTAACACACGTTACATTCTTATCCTTAGAGGGTTTGACAGCAGTAAATGTATGAAAGTGTTGTGAGCCGTCTCCCTGGTTGATACAAGTTAGGGGTCAGTAGTTTATTGGTGGGGAGAACCGAAGAGTTGCAGTGACAGCACGCTCCATTCAAGAGTGAATTTGGCAGATTCACATTTGAAATGACAGGTTTGCAAGCAGACTGCTGCTTGAAGCCGTGGCCACACAGCCCTCGTCTGCAGCACGTCTGTGTCAGGGAACATGGTGCTTTTTATTTGGCCCCCCTGTTAACAGGTTAGAGCAGCCACACTGCCTGTGTGAGCCAGCTGCAGATGCAGCAACACTTCACTAGAGAGTCCAGGTCTAACCTATCTAATAGACAGTGAAAAGGATCTGTTCATACTCACATTGACATTTTACCACATACCGCACCTTTCTGTACAGTTTCAGTGTCTACATCTGTAGATTACCACTCAAGGAATCAAGGAAAATATGTCTTTTATTGGCTTCAGATTTAAAGCTCTAGCCTTTATATGGACAGAGTACATTCACTTGTTAACCCGGTTTTTATTGTATTGTATTTATCAAAAGCAAACTCAACGTAGAAGCCAGGACTGGCAGCAGCACGGCAGCAAAAAGTGCTCACACATGCTGTGTTAACCTGGCTTAAAATTTCACACACACCTCTGTGCAAATATTTCACACACACCCAATACACTGTGTCAGCATATGATCTACAGCATCATGTTGTTGGTTACCGTCGGTGTGGTTCGTTTTCTGCTTCCTAAAATGACTATACTAGTTCCTTCATCTGGAGAGAATGGCCCGATACAACAGACCACAAGTCACAATGAAGAAGTATTTCTCAACACAAATGAAATATTGATAACATATTCCACATTTATACTGCAGCCATTAGATGCACTGTGTTTGAATTAGCAACATGTAATCCAGAGCTGCAGCAGATATATTCACTAGAACCGTGCAGCCTTGTGTTTGTGTTATCTAACAGTTTAAATGTGGGGTGGTGAGAGGGAATGCTGCACACCTTTCCAAATGCTTCAGGGTAATGTGCTGAGCAGAGCGTGCCTCTTGTAATGACAGTGCAGTAAACATACGTTATTTCATCCAGCAGTCACAGTAGCTGAAGGATTACAGCAGACAGCCACTTCCCAATTGTACCAGACTAATGTGTTATTGTCTGGAGAATGTCCAGGCCATGGCTGGACATTCTGGCCAGACTGACTGGTAGAGCGAAAAACCTAAACCCCAGGCAATATTTATGAGCAAGTGGCTGGTTAAGTTCCCAGCCTGGATACTAGTGTTTGTCCTGAGGCATGGCTTCATTGAGTTGGTGAAGGCACAAAAAAACCCACATTGCCTGTGTCATGATAAAATGGTGACAACGTTTGGCACCTACATTTCATACCCCACAGCTTGGGTTTATTGACTTTGCCTGAAATACACTGTTGCTAAATACAAATGACTCTGCATCATAAAATCATGACATGGCTTTATATCACTTTGGTGGATCACATTCACTCTTGAAACACACATTTTTCTTGAGTTGCCTTGTTCATCTGACATATCTAATCCAACACACACCGCAATTTGTCAGTCTGTGCGAGGTCGGTGTTTGTTTTTTCACTGACTGATTAAATTATGTTTAATATTCTGAAATGTGTCAGTTATTTGATAATAAGTCACCAAGTTCATGCACAGTGCAGCCCGCATAAGTGTTTACAGAAGTGATGTTGTGTCTACTTCAGGCAGCCCTATTCCTGACAATGCCTTTGAATCAATGTGTGTGTCTCTTCAGTAACCAACTCCTCTCCATCTCACAGCTTTCAGTTTGGATACAGAGCAGCCAGACTACGACCTAGATTCAGAGGATGAGACGTTTGTGAATAAGCTGAAGAAGAAAATGGAAATCACAGCCCTGCAGTTTGAAGAAATGATAGACCGACTGGAGAAAGGCAGTGGACAGCAGGTATTTGTCACTCCGTCTGGGGAACAATACTAGTTTGCATGGTATTTGCACCAACATACTTCTGGCTTGGCTTTACATAGAATAAATAAACCCACTAAGCCTGATGGGTGCTTTACTTGGAAGTGACTAATATCTTGGTTCTTACTCTGTAATTTAGTCGTTCCAGAGGCAGGTCATTGCCGTACTCTGTGGTTTCTTTAATAGTTATGGAAATGTACGGCATTTTCTACTCCAAGCTACTGCATGGACTTAGTCATCTTTGACTAATAAGGCGGTTACTTAAATTCATAAATCTGTTAAACTTAGAAGTACGAGTTCATGAGGTGTGCCTAAAAGCAACAGGACTCCTCCACTCCACCACACGGCGACCATCCAAAAAGATTCGTTTTGTTGTTTTTGGCTGTTTAACATGGCTGCAACTTGTTTAAAATTCTTTCTCTCTGTGTTGTTTATATCTGCATCACACATCCAACAACCGAATACTTACATCGCACTGACTCGGCCTCTCCTATGTTGCTCTGCAGCTCGTCAGTCTCCAGGAGGCCAAGCTGCTGCTGAAGGAGGACGACGAGCTGATCAAGGAGGTGTTCGACTACTGGAGCCGCAAGAGGAAAACCTGCAAGGGTGGTTCCCTCATCCCCAACGTCAAGCAGGAGAAGAGGGATGGCTCTAGCACCAGCGACCCCTATGTGGCCTTCCGCCGACGGACGGAGAAGATGCAGACCAGGAAGGTAGGAATCTAAGGCCGATGGGAGAAGTCGTGCTGTTTTCCCTGTTGCATGCAAATGATGGCTTCTTGTTGTCATTTGAACCCATTCTGGGACTGGGAATACTGTGCTTTAGGTATCCTGCTGGTATGGACATACAACACAACAAATGAAAACCTCAGTAACCCGATGTCTGTGAAAAGTCTGTGCATAAATGGGAAGACTCGTGGCTTCATATCTGACCACCGTTCCATTTTCAGAACCGAAAGAACGACGAAGCGTCGTACGAGAAGATGCTGAAGCTGCGCAGGGACCTGAGCCGAGCTGTCACCATCCTGGAGATGATCAAGAGGAGAGAAAAGAGCAAGAGGGAACTGCTGCATCTCACACTGGAGATTGTGGAGAAGAGGTAAGAAAGACCAGTGTGTGAAATTGGCCCAGAGAGAGAGTTAGGCAGTCGTTGACATGGTTGTCTGCACCGCATCAGCTACTTGTTAGGCAAGTAGCTGCTATCAGGAGGCTTTTCTTTTTTTTTCACAGGGAGTTATGATGCAGGAGTATGATACATGCAAGCGTCGGTTGTCGGATTAGATGACAGATGTTCATGGAGAGTCCGTGTATACATTGGATAGTATTGTGTTTTGCAGCTGTGCTCCCGTCCTGTCTCTCCAGCAGTGCCTGGGGAATGGTTTCTGATGATGTTTTCGAACACTAATTGTTTTGCTCCCAAAAGCTGAGATGGCGACTGTGTCAGGCCTTTACTACATGTGGTGTTCTGAACTGCTTGTGTGGTTAACCTACATGTTTGATTAGGCTTTTGTTTACTCGTCAAGTTGAAACCCCAAGTAGAGCCCATTAGGACACCAGATTGATGGGTTAAAAGAGTCAACCACATATTCTCTGGAAAGTCAGGCTTCACTGCTCCTGTTAATTGGGGCCACAGTCATGTTCACTATTTTGCATGCATTATCAATTTAGAGTTCACCCTGTTTATTCAGTGATGTAGGGAAACAAATTAGCTCATTGACTTCTCTGCTAGAATCTTTTTTCCAATCTACACTAGACTGTATGTTTCTATCAGTTTGTGTTTTAATTTTTTTTTTTCCCCAAGCTCCACTTTGAATTGTTCTTTTTTTTACCCCCCAGTGGAGCCTTTGCGTTCCATCTAAACATGACATCCGAATGGAATGAATTTTCCCTGAAAGTAGCTGTCAGTGTGAGCTTAAATTGGACCCTTCTCCTTGAAGTGCTTTTGATTTGTAGTGACATTTCAATTTCCTCTTGTTATCCCGGCCTGGTTTCTGCCTGCGCATCAAAGCTAGTGTTCACTCCCAGATTGGACCACTCTATTCTCCGTAGATAGCTTCTCCGGCCCACTTCATGATATTATGCTGGTGTAGAGTGACCCAGGTGTTGTGAGTGGTGTGTGTAGTCTGACAGTAGTGTGTTTTGGGCCATTGTGTGCACTGAAGTTGAGGTTCTGTTGGCTGTTGGCCTCAGCTGTATGGTATTATGCCGACTGTTAAGCATTCATTTGCAATCATGTTGCTGAACATTGCAGCATGCACAGGTTTCTACACAGGTTTCTACACATTTCATACTTTGCAAATGTTGTTAATGTAACGTTGACATGTTTGGGATAAGACAGTTTAGGCGAAGTTAAACCTGCTACCTGCAGGTTTTCTTTTATTGGCTAGTCTCTGGGTTGTTTTATAGAGAAACGTCTTTAGTACTTTATGAAAAGAACCTTGAATGAACCTTTTTTATTTGTTGGTCAGACGTTGGAATTAGCTGTTCCACTAATAAATCAATTGCAGCTGGTGCTATTTTAATTTACAGTAGTACATTCACTCATTTGGTCTGTTTGTGTAGCGCGGTCTTAGACCCTGTGTCATGTCTAAGAAGTATTTTTCTTCGTGTTGGCGATACTGATGCTACTACTTGGACCTGTTTCTGTGAATTCATTATGCTTTGCTATAAAGTTATTCAATTTAACCATAAATGAATCCCTAAATGTTGTCTGCAGCTGAAATATGCAGTGCTAAATAAGCCCACTTTTTGGCTCTCTTTCCATCAGGAATGCAATGCCAGACTTTGGCAGCGAGGTGATGGCAGAGGCACTTGCGCAGCGAGCTCTGGTGAAGCCCGTCTACACCATCCCCATCATTCCCCTGTCCAACAGTAACCAGTACAGACACCAGGACCACTTGGATATGAAGGACTACAAGAAAGTAAGGCCATCTACATTCCCAAGACACTGGCTTCCTCCTCATAATGTCAGGAGCAGAATGGGAAATCATTTCCATCCTATCTGGCTCTTGATGAGTGTGGGCGTTAGAACTGACTGTATGAGAAAATGTTATTGACTTCACATTTGTCCTTCACTTGAGTCAGTTCACACAGTGGCGATGGCTGAAGCGGGGAGCTGCATAATGCAGTATACTGTACTTTGTATTGAACTCAAATTAGACCTTGGCATTTCCATTGTTGAGAGAGTGCATCGTTTTAAATGGCAACTAGTGATTTATTGAAAGTCATTGCTCTACAGGGAGGGGGTAACAGATTTTTGGTAAGGAAGCAAATGTGCATGTGTAATTTCCATCAGAAAATCTTTTTTCAGAAAACAAAATAGAAAGACTATATTTAAATGTTCCAAAGAACGAGTATTAGAGGAATTAGCCACTTTCCCAGGCTGTCGGGTCGCCCTCAGCCTGAAGACCGTTCAGGGTTGTGTCATCGAGGCAGTAGGGAACATGCTTTATGGGCCAACCCTTTCAAACTCCAAGCATCTCATTTAAAGCCGGGGTGCCATACGCTTCGGCAGTGCAGCACTTCATTACACAGCACTGTGGTGAACTCCATGTCACCTCTCATTCTAACTTCATTAGCTCCAGTGTCCAACCACCCCTCCCCACTGCCCAGCAGGGAGACAACTATTCTCCCCCCTTTTCCCCCCACCGTCTTTTCCTCTACCAGCTGGTTGACTTTTCCCTTTTGTTTACAAACGCTCAGTTTTGGTTAAACTCTGACCCCTCCTCCCTCATCACTCTAACCCTCACTTCTCCCATTGATTTGACACAGCAGTTCTTCGCTGTAGAGTCCCTGCCTCTCTGTTTGCTTTGTCCCCCACGTCTAAGGGCTGAATAGGATCTGACTAATCCTAGTAGAGTTGGAGTCTGTTCAGACAGGGAGGGGTCGTCCCACTGGGGAAGTTAGGGTGAGCTGTGGCACGGGGTGGATTGAGGAGGAGGGGGGGGGGCGGCCATCTGGCTCGGCAGCAGCATCTGGCGCATGCTGCCATCTGCATATCAATGCCTCTTTTACTCACGGCCGCTTCTACACACACTCCGTCGCCGGTGCATAGACCACCAACGGGATCGCTGTGCATCCTGAAATGCCTTTGTTCATCACGCAGACTGTAGCATAAACACTGAGCGCTGTTTCCCTCTCCTCTTCCTCTTCGCAGCCGGAGAAGACGGAGGCAGTGAGAACCAAAAGGAATTATGTAAGGAAACCCAAGATCCCACCTCTGTCAGCACCTCAACATTCAGGGCCCTCTGTGTTCAATCCCAAGGACCTCAACCAGTATGATTTCCCCAGCTCAGACGAAGAACCCTTCTCACAGGTAACACGATGGGTGGATTAACTTTTGTTGTGCTGTGAACAGACAGTGGGAACAAAGCTGTAATCATCAAGCCAATAATGGACTGTTCTTCAGCAACTCTGAAAACCATGCATGGCTACTAAAATGCTAACTATAAAAGGGTTTGAGCCCTAACCTAATCTTCATTTACTAATAAGTTTTTTTTTTTTTATTGTATAGATCCATTCAGGTTCCTCAGAGGCAGAAGAGGAGAATGACCCAGATGGCTGCTATGCGTTCAGGAGGAAGGCGGGCTGTCAGTACTACGCTGTGAGTGCCCTCCTGTGACTCGGATGCTTCTATTTATAGTGCCAACAGCAGGCTGGTCAGTCTGGCTGCCCTGGCTGTTAGTCTGCCTCTCTCCGCTGGACAGAACAGTGCAATAATGGAGATTAGCCTTTGTCTTTTGCACTTTCTTTCTTTGCTCTCAATTTTAATGTCTCTCCCCTATTTTCTCTTTCTGCATGTCCTCTTCGTCTTCCTCCAGTCTCGTCCGGATCAGAGTGGCAACTGGCCCTGGGTAAGCCCGTCAGAGGGCGGGCTCGGCGACCCTCGCTTCCGCTACTGTCTGACCTCGCTGAACATGCCACGGCGCTGCATAGGTTTGGCACGGCGCCGCGTGGGCAGAGGGGGCAGGTGAGTTCAGTCTGGCTGCTTTGTTTCCTGACACTTGCTGAGATTTGATCAGCGATGCTCCGATTCCTCTGCGTGTACACAAGCAAAATGGAGTGGATTGTTTCCAAGCCTGGAACATTTGGCTAAATCACAGAAAAATGTCTTGACCTCTTCTTTTTGTTTCATGCTGCTTTAAAAGCTAAATGTGAAAATGAAGGGTGATATGATGGGCTTGTTGCTCAGCGACTGTGCATTCATCCTATTCATGACATACCAAAATCGATAAATTCAGTAAAGAAAATGTAGAAATGAAATGTGTGTAGGAATGCTGCCAATACCAATACTGAAGAGGGGAAATTCAGCCAAGTGTTGGCTGTAGCTGCTGAGGTTGTTTACCATACAGGCTGTTTGGCAGGTTACCAGCCATCAGTTGGCGTGCACATTCTATTATAAATATCAAGCTGGTGAAATGATGAACATGACAGTCCCATTTTAGGATTCACCTGCCGCCATGGCCTGTAGACAAATCAGAAAACAGCCACGTGTCCCGCAGCTCACACTGATATCTCCTCCGTAATTACACAGACGATTGAATAAAGCGCACTGGCTGGAGGAGTTAGCCGGCGGCTTGCACAGTGCCGGGTGTTGTCGGGGAGAGCGACCGAGTTAGGCCATATCTGTTTCACAGACGCACGAGATTAGAAATGTTCTGTTTCTGTCTGCAGTCGACCTTATCGCTTGCCCCAAGGGAGACTGAAGACTGTCTGTCTTCTTCAGTATGATGTGTACTTATGATAACAATACTGGATCATGTTAGAAAACTGGGAGCTTACTATGTTTGTTTTGCCAGACTAGCAGTGGGCCTCTGAGGACTACAGGGTTGTTTGTTGTTCTTTATAGTTCAGTCCAGAGTAAAATATCTCAACTAGGACATTGCTATGAAATTTAGTACAGACGAGCATAAGTGTGTCTTTTTTGTGTGACTTTGGTTATTCCCTGACATTTCTGCCAGTACATGTAAAAATGTCCCTGTACACTGTACATTTAATTAACAGCATGGCCTTTGCTCTGACACCAGCCACCGAGGTTTGTACAGCACCAGTGCTAATGCTCTAGAATAGCCTGAAGAGCAATGTTGCCTCTTTTTCTGGATTTTAACAAGCACTTCAGCCTCATGAAGCTGCAGCGTGGCTGTAAACTGGTTCCATTACATAAGTGTTCTGTTCTCATGGCAGAACTACATGTTTTTGCCCTGTTTTTTGTCTCTCTATATTTGGTGCTCACCCACTGGACGTGGTAATTACATGAGTGCTATGCAAGAAATAGGCACACTTGTGCAACACTCTATGCACTGATAACGACCACAGCATGTTTGTAATTGCGTCTGACCTCGGATGGCTCACTGATTCATTCTGATGGTTTTTGCTTTGGTTTCAGGGTCTTGTTGGACCGAGCGCACGCAGATCTAGACAGCATCTGTCAGAGCCTGGACTCTGACCCGGAGCCCGAACCACTCGCCTCACCACTTCCAAGTTCTCCGCTCCGCAACTCCAACGCCAGTACCTCAGAAACCAATACCTCGGACCCAACCAGCTCCTCCCACCTCCCCTCCTCTTCATCACTCCCGTCGTCGTCATCGCCAACACCTATGGACCTCAGCCAGATTCTTTTGAACATTAAAACTTGCCGCTGGAGGCACTTCAGACCACGGACGCTATCCCATCACCCCTTGGGTGTAGGAGACTTGTCTCGCAGAGGATTTAGGGATTTTAGCCGGACAGCGTCAGGACTAACCCGGACCCCGTCTGGAGGAGCCAGCTCCCAGAACCGCACCGGCCCCGCCCCCACGCCTGTCAACGGTGAGTCAGTGGTTTGCTCACACATGCTGCTCAGTGTTTGCTTTGGCATTGTATCCTGAACGAAGGCTTTGGCACCACAAGGAGCAAATCTCATAGTTTTCATAAGCTACGAGTTCAGTGACTGGCAGTGATTTCTGGGAGGACGTTTATTTCTATATTATCACCCTGTGCTGTGCTTCAGTCACATACAGTCTTCATTGTGAAACAGCTGTTACCAGATGTCAATATCCTTTCTTCTTCGATTGCTCGTATTTATTTGAGGTGATGGTTTTAGACAGTTCTTTTAGGTTGTTTTAGAGATTGATTGTTTTTGTGGGAACTTTCACTCCTTCTTTTATTGTGACATTCTGTTTTTGTGCCGTCTCATCGGCCTTCTGCTGGTCTGTGTTCACCATGACACTCACAAAGCGTCCTGACCACTAACCGGGAGGTTTTCCTGGTTACTGTTTTAGAAGGGTTAGGGTTGTGTGCTAAGCAGGAAATGTTCTTTGACAGTATATGTGCACTGTACATAGCCAGATGGGATTATCTCTCTTTGCATTGATGTCACAACCCCGTTAATCAAATACTGCAATGACACTGTGCTCACTGATCAGCAACGTTATCAATTATAGCCGAATACAACCAGAGGGATTTTAAAGGTGCAGTGAGTCTTCGTTATGTTTGCAGTCAGTGTTTAACAGAAGGTTGTGTTTATCCTAAAGGGTTAACACGCCAGATTAATGCATCCTCTTTCTCACAAAACAATGATGATTTCATTTTTTGTTTTGTTTCCATCCATGTCTGCGAGCTTGCGGTCTCTTCTTCCTCTTTGCCTTTGTTGACACATTGCTCTACTTTTTTGCAGATCAAAACAACTGTCAATTAGTAGGGTGGTGTTAAACAGTGTGCACGCAATGCAAATGAAACCAACAAATCACCTGTCGCCACTAGTGGTCACTCCACAGTGTACCTTTTTTAAAATGAGCTAAATAATAAAATAAGTAATGAACTACCTTGGTATAAATAGTACAGCAAAATCTCTTTGTGTGTCAAGTTTCTGTGGCCTCATGGGACATACTGTCACATTGCCCAGCCCCAGTGGAGGATTAATAAATAAATAAGGACAGCCTCAAAGTGTCACGTATATAGATAGATAGAGCTCAGCCAGATGGCGTGGTAGGAAACGCTGCCTGCTTTGACCATAAGAGGATCCTTCCTGTCAGACTTCAGCTCCTCATCTCTCAGCGCAGAAAACAAAAAGCCAGAGAACTGCCTTTGTGGCGTGCGTGGGGAGGGCTGTGATAGATAAATTCCTCCATGCATAAATTGATGCGAGGAGCCGTTGTTGAATTGATTTTGTGCACGTGAATATTCAACGGTGAGGAAAAACAAAGTTGGACCTAAAAGCCAGCTCGTTGTTTAGTCGAGGCTCCTCCGCTCTGCTGTAACACTTCCTGATGAGGCACCTCAAAGGTGGATCCCATGCTGCTGGTAAATGACACAAACCTTCTGCTTTCAACCCTCTCTCCATATTATAATCCATTAATTCCTGCTCCCATGGCTTGGGGGAGTCCATTAGAAAGTCTCGTATGAATAGATTTCTGAGCGGTTCTGCAGTGAGTCTGGGCTTGTGGCTGCGTAGAGGGGTAACTTGGTGAATATTTAAGCCACACCGGGCTGGCTAAGGATCACAGTAGACTGTCGAGTAAATGACCAGAGGGTATGAATGCATCAGAAACCAGCCTCACCTGCCTCACCTGCCTCACCTGCCTCCAGCTGTCTGCTTCCAATCTGTTGATACTTGGGCACGTGTAAGATGAAACAAATGTGGCTGTTTAGTTTTGCTCTGTTGTATTGGTGTCAGTGTAGTCAGCACTTATGGATTTTCTACACACATCTGGATGTATAAAAACCTCCTTTGGGCGATGTCACATCTGGCACGAACGTGTGTGTGATAATTGTTAGGTGTGTTTTTGTTAATGCGAACTTGCCGTGTAACTGTTTGCTAGTGTCGTTGCTGGACGTACTGCTAATTGAACAGTAAGTAGTGTCCTGCTCAGGGTCTGCAGTTGAAAGCAGTGAAGAAGAGAACGTATATGTACGCCTGTATTCTGTCCTCTTCGTGATCGATGTGTGTGTTTGGTGAAATAATAAATAGTCGCCAACCTTGAGGGTTATTTCAGTAATTAAAGTGAAATGAGGTTGGGAAAAAAAATGAGTTGTAGCGTATACCCACAGCATAGAGTCATGAGTGGGCGTTGCTTTGTTTTAGTGGGTTTCTACACAGAGTCATTTATCTCAGCACATTGAGTTAGGCATTCAGTATTTCTCTTCCTTCCCCCTCTGTAGTTGGAGCAGCTCAGTTCCTGCTGTCAGTGA